TTTTTTTTTTTTTTTTTTTTTTTTTTTTTTTTTTGTTTAATTTCTTTGCGGTCGCGTGGTGTTGTTGTTCGGGAAATGTTTGGGCGAATTGGATCCCGCCTTGCATCAACTGAATCGGAAACCGTGGTGAAGATTGCTTGGATTCTTGCCTTTCTCCAGATCTCAGGTACGGATTTCCTCTTACTTTCGATATAGGGCGAGTTAATCTAACCGTTCGCATTTTTCATAATCGGAGTTGTAGCTTTTTGTTGCTAGTTTTGATTTATCTGCGTGACCGAATTAGAAATCAATGGATCTGGACTGTGTCTGAATCATGATTCTCATTCTCCTCTGTCTTTCGCTTAGGAAGTTGAGGACTGAGGAGCATAAGCTTGATAGTTAATTTCGGCTAATGTTTTTGTGTATCATAAAGCCTATTGATATTCGTTGAAGTTAATTGGTTTCCGTTTGGTTGCTTCAGTCCATAGAAAACAGTGACAGATAATAACTCTAGTTTCGATAAAACTCTGATTCTAATCCATATATAATAACGGTGTCAGACGAACACGACTGTATGATATTGTCCACTTTGAGCATAAGCTCTCATGGCTTTACTTTGGGCTTCCCAAAAGGCCTCACACCAATAAAGAGTATATTCTTAGATTATAAATTCATGACCATTCTCTAAATTAACAGATGTGAGACTTTCATCATTCAACAAACTACTGAACTGATTGAACTTTTCTCATGAAAAAGAAAAAAAAAAAACTGAATTAGTAGAACTTTGTTTTTAATCCATGCTCTGCTTCTGCCAAAAGAAGAAAAAAGGAAAAATAAAGAGATGACGATTATCTTTCAACTGTGTAATTAGTGTTTGGTTCAATTAATGGATCCGTTTTCTGAGTAAATTTCTGGGAAGGAAGAACGTAACAAAAGAAAGAGGGAAAGAAGTAGCGAACTGTTTGATAGTTGGATTCTTATGTTAATTCTTATATGACTGTTGGATTCCCCACAAAATGAGGTCAAGGTTCCTGAAATTTTGTGACCTTCGTTTTTCTGAGGAAAGTAGAATTAAGAACAATGAAAGTTGTATTCCGGAAGGGAGGGAATTTGTTTCCATTTGACGAATCATGGGCCGTCGAGTTCCATCATTCGATAAATAGTAGCTAATGGAAATGGAGACTATCCGATTCCTTGTGTTGGGAAAATAAAATATAAGCGAGATGGTTTGTTTTTACTAGTAGGAAATAGCAGAAGGTTTTGTAGTTATTTCATATATATATATATAGTTAGTTAGTTAGTTAGTTTTTGTGATTTTATTTTTGTTCTTTCAAACTTAGCATAAGTATAATAAAATAATTAGTTATTTTCACGAAAGTTTACTAAAAGTGAAACATATTTAAGAATTAATAGTTCTTTATTTTGTAGTTCAACTTTATTTTGTAATAATTTAGTTCTCATTGTGAAAATTATTTCAAGAATTAATAGTCTCTTCCTAGGTAGATTAATGAATTAATTAAGGATAGATTTTTCTCTTAATCCAAATAATAGTTACTTTTGTTCGGGTTTCTTGGTTTGGGCTTAAATTGGGAACCGAGCTGATGTCCAGTTAAGTGAATTTTTCTTTGGATTGATTCTGTTCCGTTATTTCAAATCTCGGTTTGGTTGGTTAAGAAGGGTTTTCTTTTTGTGTTTGTATATTCGTTTAGTGTTCTTTCCGTTTTGTGATGCCCCATTTAATATGAATAATTAAACCAAAGAATTGGGTTCTAGTTTCGAGTTTATGAATTTTAAATTCTTAAGAGAATATCATACGCGTATGTTTTTTAATTCACAGTTTTAGGCATATTAGTTTAAAATATTTTGAATTAAAAGATAAGTTAGATATTGGTGCTAATCTTTTGTGTAGTAATGGAAAGTAGTAAAATATTCTCAGTTGCATTTTTGCCTAACTGATGTTGCCTATACTTCTCCCTCTGTTTTATTCTAGGCTACCACTTTGCTTAAAGGAGTAGATTCTGGATAACCTTCATGATAACCAAAAAGACACTGAATTCCTTTAAATAAGAAATGAAAATATTAAAATTGTTTTGTCGCTGTATAATTTGTGCATACTTGGCATCTAGCTTGACTAGTATTGCATTTCTTTTTCACTTGTTTTTCATTCTGAGTTCGGAGTATAGATAGATACTACATGACTTAAATTTAAAATGAGTAGGTTAAAGATTTGTGTTTAAATATGTAGGATAATTTGTATGTGTTTAATTTGCATGCATCTTCGTTTTGTAAGTTTTATACTTCAAATTTTTATAATATGTATGAAAGTCGTATGAGTGAAACTTTATGAAAGTCTTTTTTTTTTTTTTTTTTCTTTCGTTTTCTTACAAAATGAATGAGACCAATTTTTCATCTGTTATCTACATATTTCAAATGTAATTTTAAAGCCATCAAATATTTGATGTTCGTATTAAAATATGGTTTTGTTATGACCATAAACTATTAAAATATTTATATTAAAAAATTAATTAATAATTATAAATAATAAATTAAAAATAATTACATTTATATATTAATCAAGGAGAGATTGCATGTTTGGTTTTTTAGGGTTAAGCCTCACTTGCTCTAAGCTTTCGAAACTTTATGAGTTTATTATCTTTTTGCAAAATATGTTAAATTATTAAATTATTTGTAATTAGTTTATACTATTTTATGAAAAATTAGGTATTATTGTATGCAAAATTAGTTAAATTATTTGTAATAAGTTTATATTATTTTATGAAAAATTAGATAAGCTATTTTCGAGAAGAATTCTAATTTATGTTATGATTGTGAGACCAAATCAAGCTTTAGAGAGCAACCTAGCTAGCATTGAGGTAGACCAACCAAGTAAGTGACTCTACCATTGGCTCAATTAAAATAATTGTTTTATGTATGATGACACGTGTTCAGTGACCTCGCACGTGTCATGTGTTGGTTATGATTGTTATGATGGTATGATATGTTGTCATGATGAGTTACATTATGATGATAGGAATGTCTCATCGTAAGTGGCCCTACTAGGCCAGGCCAGAACAGACTAGACCAGACCAAGTGACCCTATTGACCAAACCAGGCCAGTTAAGTGACCCTACTAGACCAAACCAAGTGACCAGGCTAGACCAAAGCAGATCGGGCCAGGTAAGTGACCAGGCTAGACCAAAGCAGATCGGGCCAGGTAAGTGACCAGGCTAGACCAAAGTAGACCGGGCCAGGTAAGTGACCAGGCTAGACCAAAGCAGACCGGGCCAGGTAAGTGACCCTACTAGACCAAACCATGTGACCAGGCTAGACCAAAGCAGACCGGGCCAGGTAAGTGACCCTACTAGACCAAACCAGACCAGGCCAGGTAAGTGACCCTACTAGACCAAACCAGACCAGGCCAGGTAAGTGACCCTACTAGACCAAACCAGGCCAGGCCAGGTAAGTGACCCTACTAGACCAAACCAAGTGACCAGGCTAGACCAAAGCAGACCAGGCCAGGCGACCCTACCAGACCAAGTAGGTGGCCATACTAGGCTAGGCCAAACCAGGCCAGTGGCCCTGCTAGGTCATGCTAGAACAAACCAGACCAGGTAGGTGGCCATACTAGGCTAGGCCAAACCAGGCCAGTGGCCCTGCTAGGTCATGCTAGAACAAACCAGACCAGGTAGGTGGCCCTACTAGGCCATGCCAGACCAGACCAGGTAGGTGGCCCTACTAGGCCATGCCATACCAGACCAAACCAAACCAGGTAGGTGGCCCTACTAGGCCATGCCAGACCAGACCAGACCAGACCAAACCAGGTAGGTGGTCCTACTAGGCCAGACCGAACCAAGTAAGTGGCCCTACTGTCGTCTAGATAAAAAGAATTGCCTTTATATGATGTAATATGGTATGATGACACGATACATTATGATGATACCTCATGTTACAATAATACGTATGCATGAGACGCTATGTTACATTATGACATAAATATACTAAGTAGCAATGAAATGTATGACATGCTCGACAATGAAGAGTTTTCTGATGCACAAATCTATGTAATATTACGAATGATGTAATGTATGAAAGTTTATACATGCATGTTACAGGGTAATATGTGAGGAATGTATAAGGTTATAATATATGAATGGTTAAGTGAAAAGTGTAGGGACTTAATGCATACTATATGTTATGAATGGTCAAGATGAAAAGTATAGAGACTTAAAGCATACTATATGTGCATATGCATTAGGGATACTTTCTTTTTTACAATGAGTACAGATGCATACACCATGATGATGAGATGACCATCATACTTGACATGATGCACGACACGACAACTATTGTACCTCTGAACATTCATATATAGTAAACTAGCCCGATGACTATTGTACCTCTGAACATTCATATATAGTAAACTAGCCCGACGACTATTGTACCTCTGAACATTCATATATAGTAAACTAGCCCGACCAGCAAGCCTAGGGGGTGTACAAGCCTACGTGGTGGGCTTATGCTCTCATGTGTGGGTTGTGTAAGAAAGTACCACACATCCAATTTGTCTGGAGGCCACCAGATTGACGACGACATCATTTCAAAGACCATGAAACAAACCTTCTTAGATAGTTACATTTATTTTCATAGAACTTAGATTGGTTTATTTTAATTTACTTTGAATATTCCCTTTGTATGGTTGTAAGATCCCTTCCGTAAACATGACATCGTTTTATGAGTCGCTTTAAATTAATATTTCTGCATAAAGAAGTTATCTCAAGTATATGGTAGCAACTCTAGGTCACAAGAAAATTAGGTTCGTTACCAGAAAAGTTTCATCTCAGAACACTTATATAGGCTTACCCCGAATTGCATGGGATCAAAGGTTCCCTCTAAAATCTCAAAGAATCAAATATAGGCTTACCCCGAACTGCATGGGACAAAAGTGTTTCTACCCTATTAATTATTATTTCTATCCAAACCATTCACAAAATTATCCATACAAATCCACAACATTGATCATATCCTAGACACGTGTTAGACATGGCTATGTTTGGAACACAAGTTTTTTATTTTATTTTATTTTATTTCTTCTATTGGATACAACTTGGCCGCTGTCTGGATACACCTCTGAAAAATATTTACCCTAAAAGTTTACAGAAAAGAAGAAAAAAAAAAGGAGAGATTTTCATATAGACTAAATCCTCGAGTATTAAGATGCCATTTTTTTCTTTAGTCATATCCGACCTTCATTCTCGACCTTCGAGTATTTTTTTTTTTTCTTTTGTGGACCTAGATGGGTAGAAGATTTGAAACCTCGATAATATTTTAAACCTACTGAATTTTCCCAGTTAAAAAGTCACTAACAAACTCTAACAGGTAAATTCAAAGCCAGCAAGTTGCATCGCATAGAAGATAAAATTTACAATCACTATGCTCTTTTACGAGGTTCGAGACAACAATAGTTTACCTGATCATGCCCAGAATGATAGCCGCTATTTGAAATCCATGCACGAGAGAGAATTTTTCACTTCAACTGGGCACCAAATCGCCTTCTATCTCGCCTGCAAAAGATTGTTAAAATAGCACCAGAGAAACATATATTATGAATCCAAGTTTCTTCAAAGTTACGAATAAATTATGTTAATGACACGGGACTCTTCTCCCCCCAGCCTACCCAATAAAGTTCTTCGTGATAAAAGATTGGACAAGGGCCTGTTTGACCAGTACTAGAATGAACTAAGGGTCTGGTCTGTTTATATGTCTAAATTATAACATATATGTATCAATTAATAGTTTTCTGATGCAACGACCCATTACCCTAAGATAAAGACCAACAAGTTAGATACTTACCATGCATGCACTTAATAAAGTAGTCCAACTCTGGAAAGCAAACCGCTCCTTGAATCAAAGCAGAAGGCTGGCGATATGCAAAGAAAGAGAAATGATGGCGATCAGGGTCACTCCTCGGTTTCGCCATATCAATGATTCTCATATATCCATCTCTGTCATAGCACGAAGGAGAGTTTTCACCAGCTACAGTTAAGCCTCGATCCCACGCTGAATTTAAAATCTGCAGATGAGACATAAGAGATTTCTCTTTAAAGGCAATGATAAGAGAGAAGGAAAACATGAGAGAGAATAAACAGTTGAGTTTCAACCTGTTAAAGGTCATTATATAACACACCAAATAACGAGAAAAAAGGAAATTTGTTTTGAGAACAGTTTTCTGTCACTGTTTTCAAATTTCTGTTTTAGAAAATTTTGAAGTAACATGTACAATTAATATCATTGATCCTACTGAAATTATATCACAATTTACAAATTTGAGATGTTGAATTTTTATTTTTATTTTTTTAAGAAAAAAGTATTTACAGTAAATATGCTACAAGAAAAATAAATAAACTTGAATAATATCTAAATAAAATTTTGAAGAATTTATATTCTAAAAAAATAGAAAACTATCTTTTAAAACACTTCCAAACAAATGAAGTCACCATAATGTTATAACCATAGAATGAAAATTCTCCTTCCAAGCAATCTCCCAGATAGGTTGTTCAAAAGACTATTTTGAAATCGGTTAGATTTGTTTCTCGATAAAATATGAAAATTGTGATAAAAAAAATTAACAATTTATAATTCTATCTCTAAGATGGTTGATTTTTCAAAATTTTATGGGCATCCGGAAGAGAACTCCTATCCATTAGAATTTATAAAGGCGTTAATCAATGGCCAAAAAATCATAGCCAAGGCACCCATAGAAGCTCAATGATCTAGAGAAAAAGCATAAGATACTTAAAAAATTTGCCACCTGCCAATTCAAACTTTCTGGATCAGCCAATGCATCCCCCTCTTCCTGACCAGCAACTGGCATGCCACAGCAGACGAGTTTGACTATTACAGAGTGTTTCTTCAAAACATCGAAAACAGGGGAGTAACCATCTTGGTTAGAGGGGTTATAAAACCCAGCTGTGAGCTCTGCCGCATGACTAGAAGTCTTGTACCACCAATAAACTGCAGGGATCTGTGCTATCAAAAACATCCAGTTAAGAACAGATTTGCAATTAAGTCCATGACTAAAAGCTATAGGATTGACTGATGAACATCAAATATTTCAGGAATTTAACCCAGAAAATGAGGACCAAAGTTGGCAAGTAAGTTTATATGGCATGCGGATTGTCTTATAGAAGTTGTTGTATCCATGATTGGAGATTAATTAAGCAAGTAGGGAATACAATGATATATGATGGTTATACCGAGAAAAAAAATACTGAAGTATGCGTGGGAATCAGAAACACAATCGTTATCCCACTGGAATTTTTAGGTAGAATCCCCTAACAAAATATTCATTAATAGTTGAAAAACGTTATTATATATTCTAGCTTCTTCTATATTCACTTAAGCTTCTTCAAATATAAAGGGATGATCTCGGATTGGTGAGTGAATAATAGGGAAGAACAGAGAGAAGACAGGATGAAAAATTTAAGGATTTGGTTGTACTATGGCCCTCTACATCCACCTCTGGGGAATCAAAAGCTCCGAGATACTCGTTCTCCCTGTGGGAGGACTCTAAACATTAATAAACTCCTCACTTTCCTCTTCTTCTCGTAACATAATATATAATACACCCAAATCCTTTCTGCTATTTCCTACATCTGCCCCCAATATTCTCTCTGTTAGCTCGATGTCTAAATCCAAATTGCCAATAGAATATCACTCGCCACTCCCCTTCTCAAGCCTAGCACATGTAACACACAAGGGTGGTGTCCAATTCTCCGAACGTATATCTTACAACCAGCATTTGGTAGCTACAAGAGAAGATAACTCAAACGCCAGTCAAATTAACAGAAGCACATCTGATTATGATACTGATTAAAAACAAGTTCTATGAAGGTGACTAATCTAAATCTCGCGGCCTGAAGATAAACTTGTTTCTTGAAGAATTAATCACCCGAAGGGCACAAGAACAATTTCATGAGAAGTACTACATGTCATTAGCTATGGAAAAAATCTAGCATAAAGCTAAGATTGACCAATGAGATGATTCATACCTTAACAATAAAATTTGTTTCCTCGAAGACGAGGCTTGCAAGAGACAATACATTATCTACATGATATATCAGCGTCTGGGCATACCATTGGAGGAAGAAGCGTCCATAGTAGCTATCATAATCACCTCGTTCACAGAAGAACCCTGATTCATGTGGTCTAGAATTGTATTGGCCGGCATTATCAGGTCCCCTAGCCCAGAATGAGTGACCACGCAGCCCAGCAGCTTTGCGCAGACTCTGTTGTAGATACTTATCATAACACTGCATATCAAATTCACCAGAGGTAAAATAGGCAATCAGCTATTTAGGTCCCAAAACATAATATCCAATGGTCATAAATTAGTCTGCTTGGTCTTAAAAGGTGATTAGGTCTTGAGAGTCCATTTTTAGGAGTAGGTTTATTACTTTCTAGAGGAACTTAGAAATGTGACCAAGAACTTTCAAGTCAATATAAAGCACGCCATTTGTTGACCATCCTAAAACCTGATAGGAGCTTCATAAGATAATAAACACAATATTTGGATGGCCAATAAATCCAAAGAACAGAGGATTAACATTATGATGGAAGGGATAATCTTTAATAGATACCTGAAACTCACCGATACCAGGATACCTCCATCCCATTCTTTCTGAGAAAGAAGGATATTTTAGTTCTCCAGATGCCCCCAGTCCTATTTCAATTGCAGAGACAAGACCCTCAGCAAACAAATCATTGTACTCTGTATGGAAGCTTCTCATAAAGTCAAAGTAGACCTGAAAACAGTTGAGATTAATTCAGGCACATAAAACTAGGTTATAATTGGGATGATAATGGAAAAGAAGCTTATGGCCAGAACTGAAAACCTGAAAGGAAATGCATCATCGAACTTAGAAAATTGTTTAAGTATTCAATTAATTTAAACCAACAAAAGAAATCTAAAGTTATCACAGTTTGACATCCTATAAATTGCGGTATTATTGCACACAAAATAATTCATTACCTCAATGCCAGTTCTTCCTCTTAAAACTCGCTCTTTGTCAATGCCCCAAGACAGACAGTCTTTATTCCTCCTTCCTTCACGATCAGTGAAGAATATATCTGGATTATCCTTCCCTATCTCCAAAACCCATTGTGGAAGCTTGATGAATGCATCCTCTGATTCAGTTCCTCCACATGCATGGAATGCCATCACGACCTATTGAAATAAATTTCCAGAAGTGATTAGAGAATTGTTAGAAATTCAAAATTTTATGACAATTAATCATTAATCACAATGCTCCTAAAGCAGGCTATGCATTCTCACAAGCAAAATCATGTCTCAAAGAAATACCTCTAAAACTGAAGGTGGACAAGGATTCTTATTTTAAATCCAAAATACACAAACAGAAATTTA